GAAATTAGGAGCAGGTGATACAATAATTAAAGAAGAATCATCAGGAGCTATGCAAAGAAAGAGTTAGGCGAATGCTCAAAGTCCATCACTGACAATCAACGTGAGTAGTGAACAGTTCTAGTTATAATAGCAATAGTAATAATCAACTTATTGAAACAACCAATATTTCCATTAACATTGTGTAAAAGTATGTTAAAAGTATGAGAAGGCATCGCTGAGCCGTGATATGATGTGTTTGAAAGTAATCAAGGGATTCAGCCAAAAATATAAGGTATTTTTTTTTATATTCACACCGTTTTCACGTGTGAATCTATTGGTTTTGTTCAGATTGAAAAATCAGTTTTTCGCATTTTGTGAGAAAACAAAGCAAAATTGGTTATAAAAGGTCACAGAAGAAAAGTTTGTGCCTGAAATTTTACACCATTTTCAAAAAACAGATTTCAAATTGGTTGTGGCATTGCTGAGAAAATCGCAAAATACGCTTTCTGTAAGCAAACAAGCAAGCAAGCAAGTTAATCAGAAAGAAATCTCAATAACGAGACATTGTAGAGACTTCTAGTTTTTTTACATTTGATCCGTGCTGCTCTATAGAAAAGCTGTATGGTTTTTGGGCAAGGTAGGAACAGCCGTTGCATAAGAAAAAGCAAAAAAATTTTCTTTCTTACGAATTTTTCAAATTAAAAGTTCACTGTGATTTTTTTTTATTTTAAATTAAACTTTGGATGAAAAAAATTTTTTTGAGCAAAGAACCAAGTAGGAAATACAATTTCAATTTTGGACTAGGGGCGACCCTAGTCAAAATCAGTTTTGTCACTTTTTTCTTCGAGGGTTTATCCAAATGGATTGAAACTTTGCATAAATGTTCTAGTGCTTAAAAAAAATACAAATAAAACATCCTAAAATTTTTTTGAGCAAAGAACCAAGTAGGAAATACATTTTCAATTATGAACTTGGGACAGGTCTAGTCAAAATCTAGTTTTTCACTTTTTTTCTTCGAAGGTTTATCCAATTACAGTGAAACTTTGTGTGAGTATACTAATATTTATACAAAACAGTTTTAAATATCTAAAGAGAGAAATGTATTCTATATGTCGTCAGACCCAAATTTTATAAATTTGGTTCTACATATAAAAACAACGTGACTTAAAATTTTGTCCAAAAAAAAGATTTTTATTAATTCAGAAATGAAAATAACATGCTCATACAAAGTTTTACTGTATTTGGATTTATCCTCGAAGAAAAAAGTGAAAAACTAGATTTTGACTCGACCTGTCCCAAGTTCATAATTGAAAATGTATTTCTTTATGCAAAGTTTCAATCCATTTGGATAAAACCCTCGAAGAAAAAAGTGACAAAATTGATTATGACTAGGGTCGCCCCTAGTCCAAAATTGAAAATGTATTTCCTACTTGGTTCTTTGCTCAAAAAAATTTTAATGATGTTTTATTTGTATTTGTTTTAAGCACTAGAATATTTATGCAAAGTTTCAATCGATTTGGATAAACCCTCGAAGAAAAAAGTGACAAAATTGATTTTGACTAGGGTCGCCTCTAGTCCAAAATTGAAATTGTATTTCCTACTTGGTTCTTTGCTCAAAAAAATTTTAGGATGTTTTATTTGTATTTGTTTTAAGCACTAGAATATTTTTGCAAAGTTTCAATCCATTTGGATATACCCTCGAAGAAAAAAGTGAGAAAATTGATTATGACTAGGGTCGCCCCTAGTCCAAAATTGAAAATGTATTTCCTACTTGGTTCTCTGCTCAAAAAAATTTTAGGATGTTTTATTTGTATTTGTTTTAAACACTAAAATATTTATGCAAAGTTTCAATCCATTTGGATAAACCCTCGAAGAAAAAAGTGACAAAATTGATTTTGACTAGGGTCGCCCCTAGTCCAAAATTGAAAATTGATTTTCTATGGTGTACTTTGGTCAAAAAAAATTTTTGGATGTTTTATTTAAATTGACAAAATTCTGCCATAAATTACATACCAATATTATTTTTTGCAATGCATAGCTTAAAAAAAATCGAAAGCTAAAATTTCGACTACCCCATCTGAATTTTGTTCATACTCTTCATTGTGGAAACCAAAAAAACAAATTCTTTTTCTTAAAACACTTGACAAAATACCGACATAATTCAGGATTAATTACTTTTTAATAATATTTTAACATTTACGAGAAAATGTGGTTCAAATAAGTGTGAAGTATGGCCGAGATTTGGACCAAAATCAGCTATACTGGTTCACAGTGTTCCCGAGGGTGACAAAATTCAAACTAAGTGTTTTTGTAACTGACATAATTATGACATAAATTAGGTATAACTTTTGAACTGTGTCGATATGGGTCTCGGCCGTACTTCACGCCCACTCATCTGTAGAACAACAAAAAAAGCAATTGAAAAATACTTTACAATTCATATCCATCAAAATCGATTTTATGTCTATATTAGCATTCTTTATCATTTATAATACCTAGATATGTTTTTAAAATGCAATTTAAAGCATTTTTGGTTTTGATCATAGTAGGCTATTTCCAAAAAATATCGATTTTATATCAATATAAGCATTCTTTATCATTTATAATACCTGGATATGTTTTAAAATGCAAATTAAAGCATTTTTGGTTTTGATCATAGTTGGCTATTTTCAAAAAAATATCGATTTTATATATATATTAGCATTCTTTATCATTTATAATACCTAGATATGTTTTAAAATGCAATTTAAAGCATTTTTGGTTTTGATCATAGTAGGCTATTTTCAAAAAAATATCGATTTTATATCTAAATTAGCATTCTATATCATCTATAATACCCAGATATGTTTTAAAATGCAGTTTAAAGCTAGGGTGACCATCTAATTTTTGTGAAAATACAGGACATTTGATAAATTTCCCAAAAAATACAGGACACAAAGGAAAATTTGATAATTAACGGAAATTTTCGTGAAAAAAATACAGGACCTGGAACAAAATTTTCAAATTTATACAGGATAGGGTTTGAAATACAGGACTGTCCGTTGTAAAACTACGCAGATGGTCACCCTATTTAAAACAGTTTAAAGCATTTTTGGTTTCGATCATAGTAGGCTATTTTCAAAAAATATCGATTTTATATCTATATTAGCATTCTATATCATTTATAATACCTAGATATGTTTTAAAATGCAATTTAAAGCATTTTTGGTTTCGATCATAGTAGGCTATTTTCAAAAAATTTCGATTTTATGTCTAGATTAGCATTCTATATCATTTATAATACCTAGATATGTTTTAAAATGCAATTTAAAGCATTTTTGGTTTCGATCATAGTAGGCTATTTTTAAAAAATATCGATTTTATATCTATATTAGCATTCTATATCATTTATAATACCCAGATATGTTTTTAAATGCAATTTAAAGCATTTTCGGTTTTGATCATAGTAGGCTCTTTTCAAACTAGTATAGAAGTTGCATTTTCCTCGCATAGATCAGTAAAAATGTTAATAAGTTTAGGGCCACAATACTTTAAAGTTACTTATCTTAATATTTGATTGCTATAAAATGATTAAATCTTTTAAATTAATTTAACGGTGTTTGAAAATTTAAAATTTCAAAATCTTACAATTTTCGAAACTTATTGAAGTCCATATAAAAGAAAGAATTTTTTTTTGAGAAAACCAGGATCTTGTTGGATATTAATCAAATACAAGTTACAAAACAGATAATCGGATTCGTAGATAAAAATTTTCATGTAATGGTTTTTTTGAAATTTGAATTCATTAGCTAATCCAATATAAATTATGTGAACCAAAAAAAAAACAGAAAAGTTAATTTAATTAAGAAACTAAGATGAATTAAGAAAAACAAATATGCGATCGTCCGCAATATCATATAGCAGCTTTCGAATGCAAAAAAACTAGAAGTTTCTAAGTGCTTCCAGTTCTGAGAAAACGGGCAGCCAGCCAGCTAGCCAAAGTGGACTTATAAGCGCATTGTTTCCTAAGGAAAATGCGTTAAAAATTCTACTCAATTCATTACATTAAAATAATATTAAGAGCATTGGTATTTCCATAAAAACATTTTATTTCAAAAGTCCTTGTCTACTTTGACTTATTGAAGGGCTTGAAATAATTTAATTGCAGGATCAAAAGGAAAATTATTGAATAAAACTCAGAAAACAACTCATTAATTTTATTTATGTAAGTGTAAGTGAGGAAGATACAAAAATGAAGGTTCAAATATGCTCACATACATAATTTTCATTAATGGAATCTCTTTGCATTATAATGAATTCAAAGAGTTTGCAGACACATGGGAATAGCAGGCTTTTAATCAAAAAAGAGCTTACAAAAATCTCAGTCTAAGCATAATAAGCCATTACCTTCAGAACATTTAAACTCTTATGTCAATAAGCTTTCAAAATTTGTGGAATTTAATGATGTGAATTATTTAAAAATTTTTTCATTAAATGTTTATAAGGATAGGATCAAGAAATGTTACAAAAGGAATGAAGAAGGATGATTTGAATGAAAAAATTCAAATGCTTTCAAAAATTTCATTCTTTAATCAAATAATGAAAATAAATGATTTGTAAATTTAGATTTGGTTCATGTTTTCTTTATCGAGTTCAGCAGTTCAGTTGACTTGTGTTCCTGGAATTTTAAACAATTTTTAAAAAATAAAATTAAAGTTTCATTTCACAAATGACTTCTAATTTTTAGGGACAAGCTGAAACTTATAAGTTCAGTGTGGTTAAAAACTGCTCAATGCAAAAAAATACTCAAAGTGAGCTATTATAAGTGTCTGCTTTTCAAATCTACTTGCTCTCATGCCTTCAATAAAATATTGTTTTTTTTTTTTAAAAAAAAAACTTTTTCGTATACAGCAGAGGATATGACAAGAGATAACTTTCTGCCAAACTTAAATCATTTCTCAAAAAACTTTTTATTTCACATGAAACTTTTATGATTTTTTATTCGATGAATAAGAAGTACCCTCAGTTATTCTGTTTTCACGATCAGTTTTTATTGAACTTTTCTGTTCTTCACACTTATTACTTTTTGATATAATTTATTGTGATAAATAAATTTATGTCACTTATACTGTCAATGCAAGTCAAATAACTACTGGAGAATATGAATTTTTAAATTAAGTTAAGAGTTTGAAACATTTTGGCCAGTTTTTAATAAAATTTGTTTCTTTTATGCTTGACCAAAATGCAGAGTACGATTTAGCAATATTTTGTACCAAAAGTTTATAACTGATTTCTAAGAACTATCAATAATCTTATATTTTAAGTTAAATATCTTAACTTTATTTTATTTTATTATTTTAAAGGATATCTTATTTTGGGTCGTTCATAAATTACGTTCACTCACTACTTAACAGAACTTTCAAACACATAGTTTTAATGGAAATATATTATTTTGTTTAAAGAGTCCCAAAATATCAAGCCTCCTCTCCTTACTCTTTAAAAGCGTTAGGTATTAACGAATGGCTCATGAGTTACTTTAGGAAAAGAGGATAACAACAGTGAAGAAGGGGTTACGTTTAAGAAAGCATTTTATGATGAACGTCATTTTGGAACGATCCCATAAGAATCTCTCAAAATTATTGATCTCTATTTTTAAAAAATTATTTTGTAGCAGATTCACTTAGAAACTGTACTCAACTTAAAACATTGACATCAGGAAAAAAAAATTAGTAAAAAAATTCAAAATTCCAATTCTGACTTCCTGAACATCTGTTACCTTATTGGCATGCCGTATTTTATTCTGATCAAAATGTATACAGTTGACAGTAAATAAATAATAAATATATTCAGCTCCACAAATGAAATGTAAGAGAAATATTGAATAATATTTAATCTGCACGTGCAATCAATTCATTCTCATTCGGTTGTAAAAACTCATCAACTAAAGCTTCAACGATTTCCTTCAAGTTGGCTTGGACTTGCTTCCAATCACTGTAAACATTAATAAGAATAAGAATATTGAACTTTAATATAATTTGATATTTTATCATGAATCAGTTGTTATTTTAAAGTGTTTTATTAGCATTTTCATAAAGACTAGATGCGAGCACGTGTCTTGAACTTAAATTGTATTCAGTAAGGGGGTTTAAGGGATGAAACTTACGCTAAGAGTTTCGTCTTCAATTTCTTAAAAGCTCTTTCTGATTTAGTCTGAGCATGTTTATTAGTTTCTTGGTCTACTCTTGTCGCATTCAGTTTTATTTAAAACCTAAAGTGTCGTACATTGATTTCCAGTTCTAAGCTAGTGTGTAACGAGTAGCCCCTAAAAAACTATAAAGTTTCACAGAAGAAATAGACAAAACAACTAATTTTCAGTGCTCCTATCTAGCTGAAATATTGCCATTAATATAAAATCACTTGATTTACTTACGTTTCATCAGGTTTTGCGCAATATTCTGAATAGTATTTAATTTTCGGTTCCGTGCCACTCGTCCGTAATGTAACAACGGTATCATTTTCCAACGTAAATGTAATCATTTGTGAACTCTTGCTCGATGGCAGCAATGATTTTCTATCAGCTTGCGATGTGTCAATGCCAGTTGTTAAATCTCTAATGCCTGCAATTTTATATTTGCCATCGAGAACGGCGAGTGGATATTCATCTTTTATTCCATTCCAATTCCGAATACGTTCAAATATTTTGACAATTTTTTCTGGCTCATAGCACAGGAAGTAGCTATTTATTGAGTAATGATAGCCATATGTTTCATATAATTGATCCAATTTTTCACACAAGCTTAATCCCTCCTTGACTTTCAGGTGTGACGCTAAAGTTGCAAGATGAGCTGATGCAGATACACCATCTTTATCGAGTACGGTAGGTGAGAACATAAATCCAATTGCTTCTTCGTAGGCAAAAAGCACAGTCTTGCCTTGTTCCATCAAATCAACACTTCGATTTCCCATCCATTTAAATCCAGTCAGTGTCTCCTCAAAATTATATCCATCAATTTTTCCCATTGATCCGAGCATCTTGGAACTGACAGTACTTGCTAGCAAGTAGCAATCACTCAAACTTTTTTCTGGATATGTTTCTTTGAAGTATTGGATAGACCACCAGCCAAGCAACGTGCCAATTTCATTTCCATTAAATACTTTCCACTGCTTCGTTCGTGGGTCGCGTTCTGCTATTGCCAGACGGTCAGCATCTGGATCATTTGCTACAATCAAGTCACTTCCAACTTCATCAGCTAACTTCATTGACAGGACTAAACACGACTTTCCTTCCTCTGGATTTGGAAACTTGACAGTTGGGAACTCTGGATCTGGATCACGTTGCTCAATCACAGCATAAACTGGATTCAATTTTGATACTTCATAAGCATGTTCAACAAATGGATAGCCAACACCATGCATGGCAGTGTAAACAATTTTAAGTTGTGCCTCTTCGTTAATAGACAAATATTTCGGTGGAATTACTGCGAGCATCTTTTTGAAGTACGATGCAAACATTTCATCATATGGATCATGTAGGAGGGGTGAGTTCAATGCTTCCAGGTTCCATGACGACTTGAATGGACTAAAATAATATTAAATTACAGTTTCAATGGGTTTTAAATCTATCATAAAGAGTTGATTACTTCTGGGGGTCGCTTATAAATGATGTTCAACTTTTGGGAAGAGAATCATCCAATTTTTGATTAATAAACTCTAAGACGTTTAAAAGCGACGTCACTTATATACAAATCCCAAGGTATTCATGCATAAGTAATAACAATTAAAAACTTACACCAAATTATCCAATATACTGTTTTGAATGTTTTTATCATGAGGTGGTATAATTTGTGCAGAATTCTCCCAATATACTTTATATCCATTATCTTCCTTTGGGTTATGTGATGCTGTGACCATTATACCACAAAGAGCTTTTTTCTCTAGCACACAAAACGGTACGAATGGAGTTGCGGTCACATTTCTATACAAATATACAGGAATATTTTCATTTATGAAAATCGTTGCGGTTAGTTCTGCAAATCTAGAAATAGAAAAATGATGAATAATTTAATTTAAAAGACAAGTCGACATTTATTTACTTCCTGCTGTTGTATCGTCCATCATAACTCAAGACAATCCCGCGTTGTTGATCTTCATCAGTAGGAAAGCATTCCTTCACATATTTTACTAATCCCTGCCCAGTTTGAACAATTACAAGGTCATTCATAGAATCAAATCCAGCTCTCATTGGACCACGTAATCCTGCAGTTCCAAAAGCCATGCGGTTCAATAGTCGCTTGCTGAGGGTTTCATAATCCTTCGATTCGACCAACGACTTAATCTCATTCAATGTTTTCTCATTCTATATAGTAAATGGAGAAAGACGGAGATGTAAACACAATCTGAATAAGTAATTTATATGATAGATGTGGTCATATTGTAGATGATAAATGCGTGAGTGATGCATAATGAATAGTTTATTCAATAATTGGGTTATTACGTTTAACGAGGTTTATTTATCCGCATTATTATGGTTTTTGGTTGGATTTCTCTAGATATGATCTGCAAATAAATATTGTTCCTAACATTTGTGATCCTTAGAGCGAGGTCTAGTAAACTGGTAAAGGTACATTAGCACTGACTAGATTATATACTCATTTAAAGATTGGGGCAAACCAGACTTACTCCATAAATTCTTAAAGATTCAATTTACAGAAAATACAATTTTTGAGTCAAAATGAAAAACCACTTTAGGAATTCAGAAAAATGCAGAAAACGGCACAACAAACAAAAATTTTAGTGCATATCAGCTTTAAAATTGTATTAATAATCTATGTAATCACACTTTTTTGTGGTTGTTGTTATTTTGTCACAAAAGTCTGGTATCACACACATATGTTTTTATGGGGCTATAGAACGTGATTCAATATGGAATCTTCTAAAAATATATTTACTCATCGTCAGTACGTCACAATAAATCAACATCATAAATCTCAAGCACATTTAGATTAAAGGCTCGTCAAAAGACTAAAGCTACTAGTTCCTATGCTTTTTCCGGGAATAACCTTTCTCAAAAAATAAATAATCCATTTTGAAGAGGATTAAGAAGAAGCTTTCATTCTTACCTTATCCCATTGAAGCCATTCCTTAATCTTTTCGTCAAGGACGGTATTTCCTGAGTTAATTTGCAATGTGTCAACAGCTGCTGCCATTTCAATCCTTTTATTTTTAATAATAATATATTTTTAAATGCTTTAAATCACACGATGAACTTGAAAATATTTTTTTTTCAATCACAAATGAAGAAAATCTGAAACAAGATTAGAGTGAAATGGAAAGATGTTAATACAACCACGTTAAATGGGCTACTAACTTAAAAAAATTATTATTGTCTCATAATCACACGAGGCAATCAGTCGCGCATAGAAAGTGAATACTTTTTTCCACAACGTGTAACAGGCTAGCATCAACATTTGTTCACTTTTTTTACGTTATATACATTTTTTTTGTTATTTATACATTCATTCATTCGTTATCAGTCACATTCGCAAAGTAGTTCGTGCCCGCACGGCTTTTGTTTAAGATGTAGACTTTTTCTTCTCCTTTCAATTAATGTGTGTGTAACATCTGTTCTATGAGATGTATACTACAAATTTACATTGCTGTTGTTGTTGTTGTTGAATAATTTTTAAAGTTTTCTATCTTAATTTTAATAAATTTTTGATATTAGATATTCTTGATATTTAAATTGATACCTTGTAGATTTGGAAAGATCATTTGACATTTTCGATGATTAGGTTTGTAGTACCTGATGATTCAATAAATGAATGGAAGATATTTTAATAAACTTTAAAGAAAGTGAATTTTTAAAGACAGTTTTGGAAGTCCCAAGTTATTTAGGAGTCGTTCATAAATAATGTCCTAAAATTAATATATCAAATCAACATAAGTATAGGTTTGGTGTTTTTTTTTGTAAAAATAAAATGGTTTTGTTAAAATCTAGTTCATCCAGAAAACGAATAAAACTGGCCTCTATATTTCAAAAAATATCTGGTCATCCCACATAAATATTACGACCCAACATCAAAAATTTCTGGTTTCCAATAAAAACTGAAAATCGATCAATACAGAATTATTCGTTGGAATTTTTAATTTGATAAAGCACTTTTTTGAGGAATTCTCATAAAAACCCATCAAAGAGTTTTTTTAACATTTTCTTTCGCAGTAAAAATAAAAGAATTTGTATTCTAAACAATTTCGCGAAACAATAATCATTGGAGAGAAGCAAAATTTAATAACCGTTCAAAACATCTAAAATTTTTTTCCCTCTAAACATTTGAAATTTATAAAATCTAATTTTTCTGCAACGATAATCTCTATATAACCTAAGATAAACTTTAAAACTTTTAAAATATGTTTGTAAATTTTTTAAAAATTCAAATCAAATCTTTTGTAGAAATTTCTTTTTTCGATAATCGTTTAAAAATTGTTATTAAACTCGATGCTGGGTTAAAAGTCCAGACGTCGTTGTCAATTACAGAATATCAAAGTTATTCATGCAAATATTATCTTTGGAAATAAATATCAACAATCTAGATAAAATATTCAGCGTTCAATGACCAAAAAGCATAAAGCTTGATTCTAAGCCACAAAAATATTCAGCGTTCAATGATCAAAAAGCATGAAGCTTGATTCTAAGCCACAAAAATATTCAGCGTTCAATGACCAAAAAGCATGAAGCTTGATTCTAAACTGTAAAGTATTCAGCTAGAAAAATTAGGTTTTATAAATTTCAAATTTTTAGAGGTAAAAAGTTTTAGGTGTTTTGAACAGTCATCCAAAATTGCTTCAAGAGCCTTCAAGTACTGTTATATATACCCTTTTGGGATTTCATAAATTTACTTTGACATTTGTGTTTAACAAATGCTTTATATTTCCTTTTTTTTTGTTATTCTTAAATTGGTTCCTCAATTCAATTTTAGTTGCTCCCGTGAGCAATCTGCTAACATTCAGTTAATATAAAACTGAGGAAATTTGTTGTTCAAAAAAAAAAAACAGAAACAACAAGTTGAAGGCAGGAGAGAGAAAAACGTTAGAATCTATTGAAATTTTTTGGATTATTTTATATCAAGTTGATGACTGTTTATGATGGAGGATATTGTAATCTTGGTAAATTTATTACTTTATGCTGTTGTCATGTTGAGGAGTGGTTCGTTCATTATGGAATGTAAAAAATCGAATTTGATACTAAAGTTCTTAAGCAATTGGAATCTTTATCTTTTGAAATGTCAAGTGAAGTTAAGGCTAAAGTTGCCAAGCTGGAAAATACAAAAACATCTCCTTCAAAGTTTCCCAAAATTCCATAAAACAGGACAAAAAAATCTTTTATTATGCCCCGGGTAACAAAAAACCTTGTTGCCTCTTGTTACTTGAGAAAGTTTAAACAATTTCCAGGAAACCAGAATATTTTAAAGACTTTAACTTAACGAAGAAAATGTTAAATCTATTAAAAAGTGCAAATTTATTTTAAACAATACCTGAGAAATTTTGGTGTGTGATGTTTAGCTCTGGTGTTTGAATACTGAGACAGATTATGCCGAAATTGATTATTTTTAATCTTATTGCATTATTTTTGCTGATAAAAAAGGAAGACATAGATTGTGAAAGAAAATGAGACATTTGTGAAATACTGTTAAAATTATGTACGTGTCATAATGACTAATAAGTCGCATGATTCACATACATTACCACATGTGGCAAACAATAAATAATCGATTGCATTAAATTAATTAATTCTAATAAAATAAGAAGAATGTCATGCTATGACACATGTCTGTTGGAATTTGCTCAAACAACATTTATAGAATAATTTGAGACAGTAAAATAAATATGAAATTCAGTACCACTTTTTATGTTGCTCTGAAAAGCTATATATGAACTGAACGAAAACACATGTTTGAATACACAATTGACGAGTGCATGAAATGAATGTGAATGATCTTACATACTTGAAATTCAGGAGATAAGTTGAATTTGTTATCAATAATAACATTTATGATGCAAATTCCACATTTCGCAGCAGACTTCTTTTAATCTTATAAAACTCAATGAATAAGTTTTACTTACAAGACTTCCTTAAATGTCTACTTTTAGTATTGACTCACAGATTACAAGCACTTTCATCTACTTTGAAGTAATAACTCTTAATAATTCTCATTAGCCTATAGATCAGACTTTAAATTTAGATAATATTAATTTTGAAAAAAATGTTTTTATTTGCCGCTTTTCGAACAAGAACTGCTTTGTTTTGACAAGGTTTTTTTTTTCATTCTTTACTTTTCGAAACTTCCAGTTTGAGAGAGAAAGAACTCGACTTCTCGAAAACAAATTTCCCATCTGAACATATGATCTTCCAGTTGTGTATGGTGGGGTGATTTTTAGAGTTTTAGGACATGAAATTTGAGGGTAATTAAAAGTGAATATTAAGATATTTGGTTTATTTCAAAATCTAGCAATGGAAATGGAAGAACCAAGGTTGTAGAACTAATGAACAGTGATTTTAAATTAGGTCTTATTATGTTTTTAGCTATCAAGAGCTCTTTAAAATCTAGTAACAGTCAAATTTTAATTAAATCTTAAAAATTTTCTCATTCAAAGTTGTTAAAAACTCATTCAAATGAATCTGGTAGGTTGCTTTAGGATACCTTTGAATCCATATTTTGGCTATTGACTAATTTAGATGATTTCTATAAACATTTGTGAATTTTAAGAAAGTTGAATATTGCTCAATCATTTGGGTTCACAGTTATGAAGGGTTGCATTAATATTTAGATCTACTCCGCTTGAAAATGGAAGTAAATAATCCTTTATTGTACAAATCATCAAAATTAATTCTTGTTTACATGTTTTCTTTAATATTCTTCGATATTTACAAAGAAATTGAGCTAGTTTCTTTAACAAATTTCAGTTAAAAACCAATTTTAAAAATGCTTCGAATCAAACATTAATTTCCATCAAAAGCTCACTTTCCAAAAGCTTTTTATGGAATCTTTTGTCTTGGAACACAAAAAATATCAATTCTGCGCTTTAGTCAACTTTCGCACATTTCCTTATAGCATAAAAGCCAAAACAAAATATTATACAGTTTCTCCCTCTTTTTTTCTCATTTGTTATATTCTTCTTTGCCCTAATTTCATTCCCATCCTCACATATATTCCAGTCATAATGAAAAACTCAACGTAAATGTGCTCGTTTAATTTCCATTCAATATTATTCAGACAGTCCATTCAACTAAACGCTTTTTTCCTCGATGGATTACAAGTTTCTCTTATTTTTCATCATAATTTATTAGTTGGAAATTAATTGATGAAAAAGAAGAACCCAAATGGTTGCGTGAATAATTGATAAGGTATTTGAATAGGTAGGAACATCCACATAAAAATAAGATAAAATATCTGTTTGGACATGAAATGTATGTGCTACAGTGAAATTGTGAAAGAGAAAAATTTATGCAGCTTTTCATTCTCACGTGATGTGCAGAGGACGTTATACATATCAATATTGATGGACTGAGTGAAAAAGAATGTCATGTGGGCTTACAAAAAAATAAATTTATATGAAAAGTTGATTGAACAAAGTTAATTTAAATAAGTTTTTGTTGTCAAAATCTTAAATTGTGTTTGTGAAGTTAATATAATACCCTGCAAGCTCGCTTTGTGCTTTATACAAATCAAAAAGTTTTTAAATTAAAATTCTCGTCAGGATTACGCAGAATAAGCACAACAAATCAAACCGAATACAGAAACATCTGTCAGAAAGTAATCGTATTTGTAAACATATGTAAAACAAATTTTTAAGTAAACAAGCTTGGAAAAGGGAGTAAGTATCTCTTCCTACGCTTATTTGTATGCCATCATCTATGTAGCGATGTTTTGAGCCTCAAATTATGAATTTTCATCACATCTATCTCTTGCGGATCACTTATTTTCCTTAATTGTCATTTACTTCCTCACAACTTTTTTTTGGATCTTGTTGAAAAGGATTTGAAAAGGTAGCGAGAAATGCTGATGTGAAATTGGCAGAATTTTGACATGTTTCAAAATAAATGATTGGATTTTTTTTACGGCTGTATATTTTCTTTGTTGGGGATTATGATGTAGGCTGATATGAGCATTGCTTTGAATCATAATAACTTAAAGGTTGTTAATGTGATTTACTGGATTTTAATGATTATTTTGTGAGAATAACGACCTTCGATTGTCAGATCCATAACATAGTTGCACTAAAGTGTTTTGTTGTTCATAATAATTTAAAGAGTGAGGATTTGCCAAGTAATCACATTGAAATCTTATCCTACAAATTTTTAGCATAATGCAAACAGTATGAAAGTTAAGTTTTTAGTCATTCAGTGCCAAAACTTCAAATTGCTACCTCTACATGGAATTTTTATACTTTTTTAAAGAGCAGCATACCCACGGTAGCCTTGAATGTTGCCTATTACCTTCATTCCTTGCTCTCCCACTGAATGTTTATTAATCTTTCAAAAGCCTTACTGTTTGGTGCCTATAATCTTAAATTTTCAAAAATCTCTAAATTTCATTCAATTTCGAGCTTTGCTAATTTGCTTTATCTTCTATTAAGGTACTAAAGTATGAGACAAAAGAGACATTAAGTCACTCGCTCAATCCACAAATTCTTGATCTTAACTTGATATTCTTTGTCCTATTAAGCACAGATCTAGTAAGATGTTGATTAGAGAAATAGCTCAAGTTTTGTAGCCAAATAAACAAGGGGCCGTTCACTTATGACGTCCAGAAGGGGGGGGGGGGTCAGCAAGAAAAGAACAATAGAAATTCCTGGAAATCCATTGTTTTTTTTATGAAAAATTACCGCTAAATTCGGACATCATAAGTGAACAACCCCCAATACCTTAACCTTTAAAAATGTCAGTTTCACACGAATCTTTTAATGCCTTGCTAAATTTATATATGCCACATACTCTACTAAACTCAATTATTATTCCTCGAAATGATAAAAAAAATAATGATGTTGATTCGCGGAAGGAAGCTTTTTATCAAATAATCTTTAAAACAATGAACGAATAGAATTTTTCGACAAAAAAGGGATAAGATAAAAGTGTGTAAAGAAGTGCTGAAAATTCGTCATCCATTCATTCATGAAATGTTAGATTTATCATTCGTAAAAAAAAACAGACAAAAATGGTCAGTGTCAGAATCTAAAAGCTCTGCCTACACAACTATAAGAATTTGCATCAGAAAAAAAGAAAAGGGCTGGAAAGGGATTTAAGATGTAATAATAATAAAATTGAAGAAAAGTCAGGATAGAGAAGAAGACAATGAAAGTATTTCTGTCTGCAAAGATTTAAACGAGAATTTTTTTCTTTACGCTGTGGATTTACATCCTCTGAATATTCTTTTACAACATAAGTACATAATGTGTAGGAAGTCCCACAAGAGATAAATTTGTATAAAAATAAAAAGCACAAAATTGCTATTAGAAATTAGTCAGTGGGGTTGAGCTAGTTGTCGTAACTCACAATCGTCTTCTTTTTGATTTTGTTCTGTCAGCCTCAGGAGACTGCCCCAAGTTCATTAAAACCAGATAATCATGGCCAGAATAGCCGAAGACAACGACTTTGATCAATTAAAGAAATTAGTCGATGAGAGTGATGGATGGACAATGGAACTTGATAAGTCTGATACAAAAGTTTGGACCCGGCCTGTTGATGGCTGTTCCTTTCAAATGGTTAAAATACAAACTGTCTTCCCTGATATATCGTCGGAAACTTTATATGATGTGCTGCACGATCCTGATTATAGAAAAGTGTGGGACACCCACATGCTTGAATCACTTGAGATTGGATTGCTGAATGTTAACAATGACGTAGGTTACTATGCAAGTAAGTGAACATCCTTGGCAATAATAATTATTTTTGTATGATTGTAATTGATGTAGGCCAGCGATGGAAGCTGTAGTAACGTGGGTGGTGCAATGCGTGTCTTTGTTTTGAATACTGTGACTGTTACTGGAATATAAATTTCATGTCTACAACAGCAAAGTTCCGAACCCTAAGTCTCCTAATATCATCTCTGACCATACTTATTGATATCAATATGAGATACATCATCTTTTCCATCACTCTATTATTGTTTCTTATTATGAGATATTGATTGAATAGATGAATCTTATTGTCTGTAGACGAAAATCATGCATGGAAAGATTTTACTTTTTTTTGCTGGACATGGGATGAAAGATGTTTTTGAAGGGTTAAAAACGAAAGTTATTTGTCTTATTGCCTGTAATTTGCTCATCGAATTACAAATAGACTATATTAGGCGTACAGATTTAAAGATTTGAGCGTTAAAAGGGCTGTAAAATGTTCCATAGGAACAACATTTAGTCTTATTATCACTATCAGTTTATTTAATCTATGGAAAATCTTCCAACTACTTTGTAATTTTCTGGGTATGTTGATGGAAGATTTGTTGCCACATTTTCAACCACTTAAGGTCTTAATACCTTTACATCGCATATCTATGATTCAATTATTCCGACGAGAAAATTCGCTAACCTTTATCATCGCAGCTGAGTTTAAAAGTTCGATGTTGCATATTTGTTCAAGTGGGAGGAATGTAAAATGGTTTGTGATGATAACGAAAGCTCATTTTTACAGCTGATGCATGATTATTAAAATTTCACGGTTGTCAAATCACTTGTCAAGTCACATCAATTAGATTGGAATACGCAGAAAAAATCATGCAATATTTGTGGATTTTCCAAGGCTAGTGATAGACATTCAATGAGCATTCATTTTATACAGCATGTGAGAGTTTTGTTTCAAAAAATACTGAATTTGAAATTCGATCCAAATTGTTCGAGTTTTTTGTCACTTTTGAAATATGAGCAGATGGAGTTTGAGGTAGGCTTCAATATTTGAATAAGTGGAAAGGAGGTTTTTAAGAGCCAAAGCTCATTTAATTAAATTGAAAGTTTAAAATTGTTTGATGTGGTACTAGTGACTGAGGCACAACTAAATTTACATTGAAATTGAGCAATAATTAATACCCATGTAAAAGGGAGGGAGGAGGCTGAATTTCATTGAATGGGGTGTCAATTATTCATTTTGTCCTAGGCAACAAAACTCTTTGCTACGCTTTTTGTCGAGTTCCAAGCTTTTCCAGACACCTTCTGGCTACGCTACCGATTTATAGATATATCAAATAATTTGCTTATCTATTGATAACAACTTTTATCATTTATTTATCAATATGTTGCTTCATACAAAATGAATGGCAATTTGAGATAACTTCGAACGAAAACTTTATGCTTTAACCTGCTTCCACAAAATAAAATCATAAACAAATTGCAGAACCATCTTGAAACTTTTCATTCAAACTTTAAAGTAAAATGAAAAAAAAAAACTTTTCAAAAAATTCATCGGTAGACTCAACATAATTTAATATTCAGTCATCAAGGATTGAAATGTAGAAGTTTCTCATCTAAAACGTTTCCATAAAATGTTACAGCTTTGATGCAAATATTGTCAATTTTACAACTAATTTTCTTAATAATTCAAGCGGAAATTTAATCAAGAATTACATTCCCAATTCAAAACCTCTTTCATCTGGTGATTACAACTCAGCTTGTTGCAAATATTCATCAAAGACGTTCGTGTAAATTTCTTCTTTGAATATTCGTTTCATGTTAGATTTTATTCTTATTCTGCTTCCGTAATGAATTAATTTCCCACAGTGTATCGTATAGAATTAAGCTCGACATGCTCATGAATATCCTAACAAAATAATGAAAATAAAATTTCACACAAAAATGAAAAGCACATAAAAATGTTGTTTCAACATTTTCACAAAAATGAGCTTCGCTGTCGAGAAATTAACATTTAATATTTCAAACAATTCTATACAGCATGTGAGATAAACTTCTTCATTGATTAACATGTTGCTGCTTTATAAGCTTCCTACGGCTTTTATGTGAAAACAAATTAAATCTGATTGAATTTTTGGGATATATGCTTTAGTGAGTCAGTCAGTTGTCAGATATGTGATTAACAAATTAGAACTTAAGATAGATTATCTTTTTGTGCTTTTGTGTGATAGGTTAAAAAAGATAGATTCTGTTTTGATTAGATCGAATGTCTATGGTTCGATGAAACTGTGTCAATGAGGGTTTTTGATGATGGATGTAAATTTCCATTATGTTCATTGATGTTTTATAATTAGTTCTTTAATTAAAGCTTTAATTAACCACTAGTGGTTGTTGTTGATTTTGTAAATCAATATTATTAGAAGCATAATTAAACATTTGTCAGTGGTCTAATCAGAGACGTAATTTGGTTAAAATCGACCCAATTCTCAACTGACCTTCTATCAAACGAAATCAAAAAATAGCCAATAAGACACAAATCATGCTGCTAATTTAATAGTAATTCACGACCTCGCTTAGATAGCGTCTAAAGCTGGTTACTGCTGGTCAATTGCAAATGCAAAGTTTAAAGCCGAGAAACGTACCCAGGAGAGGGGTTCCTTAATTTCTCACTTAATGTAATTTTCTTTGTCCCTCATCTCCTTTTAAAAATTCCTACCTACTCCAATGAATTTGACTTAGAGGCAATCGCGTAGTTTGTAAAACTGAAATTGGCTCTAAAATGATATACCATTCTTTCAAAAATTTCACAGACGCTTCTGCTTCTAATTAAAGTTAATTGCCTAACAACCCTGACCTAAAACAACAACAGATTTCACAAAATACAATTTGAATCATTGAAGGCTTAAAATAATATTTTCGTGTTTCTCCATCATATGATGTGCAGTTAGGATCATGTTATTATGATACCAAAAAACTGAATGTTGAATAAGAATTCGTCCTTAAATTCTTCCCAGAAATATAATGAATTTTATTTAAAGTCAACATGAGTAAAGCAGCATTAAGCAACAAACAAAACATCCCATTGTACATACACAAATGAAAAATAATTTAATGACAGCGATAATAAAGTTTCATTTCTTTCCTGCTAACTTCTTTTATGCATCGTGTCTGTGTAGTCTCAGTTTTATTATTAAATTTTGTCATCTTCTTCCCTCTTATAATGTTCTCATAATTCTTTATTTCTCTTCCTTTTTTCTAGTGCAATGCCCACCACCACTACGACCAAGAGATTTTGTATTACAACGAAGCTGGCTAGATACAGGACCAAATGGTGAACAAATGTTAATATCACGTTCAGTTCCGCATAAGGATTTTCCACCTAAAAAAGGATATGTAAGGTATGTATAAAGGAAAGACGAGACATAAAAAAACACAAAACATTGTTTTTTTCAAGTAATACCCGAGGGTTATTAACGAAATATGATTCTCATCTTTCAGAGCATTTACACACATAACAGGATTTTTGTTACGTCCAATGCCAACAGCTGGCTGCATGTTAAATTACGTTGCACAATGTGATCCATGTGGAAAGCTGCCACCATGGCTAGTAAATAAAGTAACTCATACACTCGGCCCACGAATGATTAAAGATCTCAGGAAGGCAGCTCTTGGGTATGTGAATTGGAAGCAGTCACAAAATCATTTTAGAAAACCTTGGAGATATCCAGAAGATATTACAGTTCCAAGAATTCTTATTGATGATTGTTGGGAATCAGGCGATGGAAATGATCCATCATCAACACCATCAACGCCTGTAACGCCAGTAAAAAGTAAACCAAAGAAGATTCCACAGAGTAATGGTAATGATACAAATGTCAATCTCAATTCAAACTCAAATTCAGCCTCAAATAGTCCGATTACGGTACAGAAAAAGCCATCGAAGAAAAAGTTCAAGTTTAAATTTGACAAGTAAATAAATTCTCTCGGCATCATTTTAGACATTCCAAATAAGAAAATCATGTATACATATTCAACATACATACCAGAAAACATATTAATGTAGTTAGAGTTGTCGATAACAAAACTTACAAAGAAAATGAAAACAATTTCATCATATTGAAGAAATATAAATATTAACTCGTGATATTTTCAATCAGGGCAAGAGATTTTGTACTGTGCTTCTACTGCTTCTAAACAAATGATGACCAACCAGTGTGTCATGGCACATAATTGGATCTTAAATACTTTTCAAAATTATCTGAAAACTGGCTGACAGGTGAGTGTGTCTTGACTTTAAAAAGAAAGTTTGACCACCACTGGACTCTGTTGTGAGAAAGACAATTTTAATTGCTCAAGGGTTTCTTGAGAAAGCTCTTCGTAGTTGTAGCTTAAAACTTTTTGTGTTTCAAATAACTTTTCACAAGTCTTCAATTTTTAAGAAACTGAAGAGGTAGAATATTTTATCTAAAGGGTTTCTTATAATTTTATTGAGGTTAGAGACCTTAGGACATTTATTTAAATTGATGAAAGTTATTCAATTTCTTTTTAATTTTATGACAGAATAAATAGTTCAAGGACTTCTTTGGAAAGATATTAGCAATTTAAGTAGCGATTGGAAGTCTGTAGTTTCAGCGAAATAATAGTTTGTAGGTATTTCAAGTGTCGTTCACGTGGAATGAAATCCCCCCTCCCCTGAAACCTCCCAATCGTTCATAAGCAATTATTACCTACTCTTATAGATTGTTTGGTATTAAAAGAAGCACAGAACAAAATACAATCCCAATAAATCCTTTATATCGAAATGTGTGATTGACTTGTTGATAGAAAAGAAAGAAGAATTAATTCTTGTTGATTAATCAGTTACTAGAAAAAGAATTAGCATTACGGATTTAAGAAATAATTCATTGGCACTTGGTGATATGGTTAAAGGTCGTTTGGTATTGCTTAATAATATGGAGATCAAGTTTAGACTCTTTCAGCAGTGAAATCTTAATGAATTTGAGCTGATTTTAAAATTCAAATCAAATGATGTTAATTAAGTCTTTCGGCGACAAATCTCAAATGATTTCTAATTAAAAGAAGGCACGACACATGTCAAAATTGCCAATGATCATCAGAACGTGGCCAATAATTAATTATTCATCCCAAATGACAAACGCAAAGACAAACAGTGAATTAATCTAGATCTGTTGTAGAATTGTAAATTATGTGATAGAATTCATATTCAGGATATGAATGTAGCTTGTAGTTGATATGATGTTAGATTGATAGATGAAAGAAAAGGAATACAAGAACTCATTTAATGGACTGCTAAAAAAGTATTTTGAGCAATTAATGACTTCAATTAATCGTTTGTATTATATCATACATTATCGTTAGTGGTTTATGTATCAATCATTATTAAAGCATAAGAGAGGATTTTTAATGATATGGCACAGTGAAGAGGAAGTTTATGCGTATAAATAAATAAAAATTTTCTTGCATCTCTCGTCTTCCCACATAAAACTCTTTTTCTAATTACTTGTAAGCTTTTAATTATGTAAGAAAATTTTAATTAAGATTGTCTTATTTTGTTACATGAATATTATTAAAAATTCTTACTAATCTTCAAGTTTCATCTTTTAATAAGAGAACTGCTGCATAATCTTGTCTGATATTCTGTTCTCAGAAGTTAATCCGAGAATCTTTTAAACAAAATTATTGTCAAAGTCATTTTCTCAAAGTATTACAACTTAGAGATTTGATCAATAAAGTAGCTTGTGTAATCCGAGGGTTGAACAATTTTTTGTATGATTTTAGAGAGTTTGTGTTTTTGGAGGTCGTTTACTTGTCATGTCTGAATCACTGAGCTGTTTTTTTTAGAACTCCTGAGGACATCCTACCTTAGCTTTAAAAATCTTTGTCCTTATTTTTATGTTATCGAGGAAATTTGTTAATAACATGAGCACGGTTCCTAAGTAGCTCTACAAAACGGCTTCTGAATTAGATAACAGAGTATCTTAGCAAATAAGTGACATGAACTAGCTCCAAAAATAGACTGATTGATGGCAGTCCTTTCTCATCGTTTTCTTCTTCCACTTTTTACCAATGCATTGCAATGCTTTTTTCAAATGAATGACCTTGAAACAGCAGAAGATTCAGAATTAAGAATCTTTACATAAAAATTTAATCTCTATAAAAAAATCTATACAAGAAAATTTCTTACAAATTTGATTATTCCCAAAATTTCTTCTTACAACGATAAGTACTAATTTTCGATTCTTTCACATGAAAAATTATTGCCAATTAATCACACTCCTGTAAAACGACATCTCTATAAAAAACATTTTGTACAAAATTTATCTTGAAAACTCTTCCATTCTTGCCTTTAATAAGAAAACCTACTATAAATATTTTTTTCTACTTCTTACGTCTTTTTCTAAGTGATAAAGTCTATAGAATATCCTCAAGAGCCTTTTCTACTCCCTTTAAAAAGATCAATCATATGAATCACGTACCACATGTCATCGTAAACGAGCTGTAGTAGAAAAGAGTAATTTTATTTTCGATCGATTGGTAAATAAAGTTGTAAAAGTATTGAGGTGGCGGTGTTTCTAAAAATAAAAATAAGAGTGTGTTTGTAAATGAAGTCTATAAATGAATGGGGGTCTTTAGGGATTCTAGAGTTCAGAGTTGAGTCAATTTTGTAATTTTGAAATTTTCAGATTGAATTTTCAAGAAAAATGTGTTTAATTTTCAAAGTAGACATCATTAATGAATAACCCCAGCGCCATAGTTGAATATAAAATATCATTCAAAAGTCAATAAAAATGTCTCAAGGAAACGCATTATCATGAATTTCGTCAGAAATTTCGCTCCGCAAAAAAAAAACCACAAAATAGTGGAAAACATATAAATTTCCTCTTGAAAAATAAATGATGATATTTATTGAGATTCCATGGAGCATCTCATCCTACACATTAAACATCACTCACGTTAATGCTCATCTCAATTTTTAATAGAAGCTTTTTCGAGCGTAAATTTTCAATGATGAAAGAATATTTTTTCTCCATTATCAAATTAAGTGGAAACTACTTCAACTACTTCTTTTACCTCCAACTATGATATTCAATCTTTTGCTTCAGCTTTTCACTCGTCATTTTCTTTCTAAATGCTCATTTGCTTTATTATCTAATTAAATGAAATCTGGTGGGTGTTTGTGTTTAATTGGTAGAAACTGACGCGTTTTATTGGAAGATGGAGATGAGCAATGGACATGATTCTGAGATTTTGAAGTTAATTGATGAAGATGGTTGATTATTGCAAAATAATTTGATGTCGAACAAGGTCATGGTCTTTCTTAAAGAGATGCTAAATCTCAAAAACAGGACGCTATGTATTAAATTTATCTCGCTGAGCTACTGCTTTAGAGATTGCCTGTTGCCTCTCTCTAGCCTCTCTTAACTTTGAGCTAATCCACAAAATTTAACTGTTTACAATCATTTAAAGCTCCATATTCCTTATAAATCCGCTATCCCTCGCAATCTGACTCAGTAAATTGCTTAAGTTGCAAAAAAAAATTCACTTCAATTATCAATTTTTATCGTCTACTGATTATGACCTTTTTAAATGTACCATGCAAAAAAAAAAAATGAGAGAATTCCTTATCTTGTGTATGATACAGCATTAAACTTTATACAGTACATAAAATAAATCTAATGCCTTAATGTAATTCACTCATCAATGATTGAGATTAATACGAAATAAATGAGAATGAACTGCGAACGAGAGAAAGAAAAAAAAAATTGAAGCATATCATCAAAGACAGAAAAGGGACAACGAAGCTACAAAGAGAATGAGATAAAGTAAATTTGCAAATATTAAAGAAAAACTTTTTATTCTTCACAGAGTGACTCATGAGCTCTCTTTCCTTTTTTTAAAGCACCAAATGCAAGAGTTTAAATTTAGCAGAAAAGCGGTGAACAGGAAACTTAATATCATTTTAACAATTAGCGGACAATTAATTAGAGTAGCGTAGAGATGATTAAATTTTAAAGTATAAAGCATTTTAAAGAGAGACATAAAATACAATTAATTTGTACAGAAGCTTCACTGTTTTTATCAAAATAATATTTATAGCATGTTATTAAAGCTAGCAACTTCATTATATGTTTTCAAATTTTTTTAACAGGAAAATAATTAATGGAAAGAAAATGTTTTGCTGTTGATTTTATTGAACAATGAATGACTTTTAATTAATTTTATTGGTCAGTTGCAGTGAAGTAACAAGGAATTTTCAAACATACATTTTCGACTCTACTAAATAAGTTTCTAGAGGTTTACATGAGATCAGTGTTGCAAATGTAGATGTCTACACTAGATGAAGAATGTAGATTCTTCAATAGTTTTTGTCTGAGACAGAAATTTCTTCAAAAAGATCGATTCTATATGAAGATAGAAAATCTAATCTACACAAAGATTATTTCTCCATAAAGATTCTGTCTACATAAAGATTCGATGTAGATGTCTACAATTCTACATTTTTTCCAGCTCTACATGAGAGAAGAATGTAGAATTGTAGACATCTACATCGAATCTTTATGTAGACATAATCTTTATGTAGAAATAATCTTTGTGTAGATTAGATTTTCTATCTTCATATAGAATCGATCTTTATGAAGAAATTTCTGTCTCAGAATTTATCTGATCTAGACAAATGGCCAGAATGCAATATTGCATGAGATTCATGGGCTAATTGAGGTATCTTACCCTATTCGCATTATTTTTTTTTCTTTTAGACAGCAGACTGTAGCTACGCTTCTTTAAAAGATGGATATTTTTTTTTTATAAACTATGGGTTTTAAATGAAAATTAATTGTAACTAAGAAGAACAACCTATTTAGCCTTAGAATCATAGACAAAAATATTTTTGAATGAGGAATTTGGTTACACTTTTCGTTGAATGTCAAATTTAGATCTTTTATACCCTTAAATGGTTAAGAGTAAGAAATATTCTTGCTGAATACTTAAATATCATAACGAGAGTTACAACTTAGTCTTGCTTCCCTTGCTACATTACTGCGTGGATTATTTTTAAATTCCTAATAATTGAAAGCGTTCAATAAATTTTTTAATTAATTTGGTAACTAT